GGCACTGTTTATTATTTTTTTATTTATTTGTTTGTTTGTTTGCTAGTTTGTTTGTTTAAAATGACACATCATGATCCATTAGAAATGGTCCCCTTTCTTTTTCATCTCACAGTCCACCAGGTGAAAGGGCAGCATGAGGTTTAAGACAGCAGGTACCTCGCAGCCCTCAGCAGTGCCTGTTTCTTACACGTCCACCAGCGTTCTGCAGCCTGCTTTTAAGGGATCATTCCGAAATGAAAAAGCCCAGCATCACATTAATTATTGTCCAAGCAGCCCTGCCAGAAAACCTCATATTTAAACAAAACTGACTGACGTGTAATATCATAACGCAGAGCTGCCAAGGCCACTTCTGATGCTGAGCCACATCTCTGTGTGATCACATCTGAGTGATCACATCTGAGTGATCACATCTCTGTGATCACATCTCTGTGATCACATCTCTGAGTGATCACATCTCTGTGATCACATCTCTGAGTGATCACATCTCTGAGTGATCACATCTGCGACATCAAGCTGCTGCTCTTTGACAGCTCGCTATTAGCTGTGCCCGCTGTGCTCATTATCTGCATAACTCTCGGCTGACTCCTTTGAAGTGGCCGCTGACGCCGGGCAGCCCCCGCCGGGCAGCCCCCACCGCAGCCAACCGCACGACAGGAATGTCAGCTTAGCCGTAAACGCTGCTCGTCATGCATCAAAAGCTCCCCCACCCTACAGTAAGAAGGGTCTCTGCTATCATTTTCGAGTTTCTCTGTGCTATTGTTGGAGGGAAGTTCTGTAGCCGAGGTTTGACGCCCGCTTCTCAATATGTGCCCCCACCCCCCCAAATTCACACCTTATACAATTCTTTCACCAGTCCAGCAATCTGGTCACTCAGAGATCCCTGCTATTTTGCTTCAGGGCAAAAGCTTCACTTTTGTTTTGCCTCTCTGCTAATTGTTCTGCTTGGAGCCATCATTGTATTTGCATTCACTGTTCGTTCCCCCAAACCTTTCCGTTCATTAGCCTGGGGCTCGACTTACACACTCGCCGTGATCTTTTTACGGGTCAGGGCCCCAGCTTGGAAGAATGTGCAGCTCCAAACAGCCGCCTCAGAAGGATCGTTGATTTAATAGTTTTTTTTTTTTTTTTTTACGGAAAAGCTATAAAATCCTTGGGAGTCGGCTAATTAAAATTCTGTCCAGCCTCTCTATAATTAGATTAATTGCATAACTTTATGTTGCTGTGAGTGCAATTTGCTAGATTTTTTTAATGGGGGGGGGGGTTGGAGCAGAAAGTTACATGATAAGAGGGAGAGAGAGAGAGAGAGAAAGCTGCAGGGGGGAGCATCTCCGTGGACGTTTAACCTTCAGCCTCTCCATGCAGACCCTCTATCTCTGGTCTTCTGGGCCCAAGTGTTGGTTCAGCTGTCCTTGGTCGATTCTCTCTGCCCCAGTCGCCGTGGAGATAGGGGTCTTCCCATGACATGTGGTTTCTTTGTCCCTATCAAACATCCACCCATCCACCCCCCCTCCTTCACTGTACCCTTCCTCTGCACCATTCTCCTTCCCACTATTGACCCTGACTGAACCGGTTCCTCCTCCGTCTCCTGCTCAGATATCCACGTGTGCCACCAAAAACAGCCCCTTTTGTTATTTACACTGGATAGAGTGACACCTTGGACGGGAGCCCCAAGCTACAGGGGCAGACTGGGCGGCTTTTCTCGTGCTGCTTGGCTTCGCGCGGGTCGGACGACTTAAGGAGCGGTTCTGGCAGGGCTCAGGACCTTGACTTTACCCCTTTTTGTTTGCTGGAACAAAGCTATCCGACGACTGGCCCCGATCCAGATGGATATCTATTTACTGCCGTGTTTAAGTCGTATAAAAAGATGAACACCGCCGTGACCATGTGATTCCTTTCGTTTATAGGTTTTCGCTTATATGTCCTGTTGACATGTGATATTGCAGAGGGTAGCAGGGTTTGGGCCCAGTCTGAGACCTCAAACCGGCCCAGGGGGCCAGAGCCCAATAACTCTGCATGTGGCAACACACCGGTTGGTCCAGGAGATGGAAAAACACTCACCTCTGATTATCAGGCCCATACACTGCAAAATAGTTATTAGCTTCCCTCTCAGTTATAGATTCCCAAGTCAACCCCCCACCCCACCCCGCCCCAACTGTACTCAGATTACCTCATATGTTTTTTCATTCCACTGTCATTTTATGGGATGTTGATCATTATTGAAATTCATCCGTATGTTCATAACTGCTTATCCAGTCCTGGGTTGCAGTCAGTCGAGAGCCCAACCAAAAGAATACAGGGCACAGGGCAGGGGACCATCCTGTAGAAGATTCCAGTCTATCGCAGGGTGGACACGTGCACAAATTATGGACAAATTAGAGTCACCGGTTCACCTAAAACGTATTTTTGGCCTACGGGAGGAAAGCGGCCACTCAAACATGGACAGAGCACACAAGCGCCACACAGACAGCCAGCGAAGGCAGGGAAACACATTAAACCTGGTGTTTACAGTGTGTACTCCGCATGGCTAGCTTACAGTTGCCACTTTCTTCCCCGCTTAGGGTTAGCTTGTTATCCTTTGACCATCTGTGTTTCCTGTGTTTCGCATGTTAGACTCCACTGCTGTGGTTGGAAGCTCAGGGAGGGTCACTATACTGCCTCTCAGTGGCCGAACCTGTGCGGCGACGGAGAAGCCAAGCCCCACTTTGGCCCCTTGGACGACCCAAGTGACAACCTGAGGTGCGCTGCCATGCTTGCCCACAAGAGGGCCTCGGACCCCCGGGCCAACGAGAACGGCCTGACCGGTGGCATCAAGCTCTCAAAGGCACCAGTGGCTCTGAAAAGCAGTCCCAGCATTCGGGATAAAATCTCCCAGTGGGAGGGCAAGAAGGACACCACGCCCCCCCCCTCATCTCCTTGCCTGCTTATACCTCCAGGGAAGGAGCCGGATATCACAAGGAGGGACACCAAACCTGCTGAACTTCACAGGGGGGACAGTAAGAAGTTTGTCAGCTGGGAGAGGCAGGACTCTGGGAAGGAGAATGCAGGAAAGGTGGGGGATTTGCGGCCTAAATCTCCTGAAGGGCCCGTGAAGGACAGGGAGGGCATTTTGGAGAAGGGCAGCCGGGGCAAATCGAGCGAAGCTGACCGGGACAAGCGACTGGTTTTGACTCACATCAAAAAGCTGGAGCAGGCCATGAAGGAAGGGCCTAGCAAACCCGCCCTGGTGTTCCCTGGGAACTATTTCAGCCCCCCCGCCAAGGAGGAGCAGGAGGAGGCCGACAGGAAGGCGGCGGAGCCCATCTTCGGGACGCTGGACATCGTGCGGCCCGGCGAGGCCCGTAGGGAGCGGCACCTGGAGAACGTGTACACCGAACCCGGGGAGCCTTCCGTTAACCCCCTCCCCAAGCCTCAGCGCACATTCCAGCACCACACCCGGCCTGGCACCCCCGGCTCACCCCTGGTGTCGGGGAAGGGACGCAGAAATCTGCCACCTTTGCCCTCCATTCCCCCCCCCCCTCTGCCCACCTGCCCCCCACCTGGGGTCAATAGGAGGCCCTGGGCAGACAGAACCAGAAACAGCAGCAACAGGTACAGTGAATAAATACCAGAGTGAAACTTTCTTAAGTGAAAAGAAATATATCAGTCAGTCGATTTCGATTTTGACTTGGCTTACAGAAACAGTGCTTTTCTTAATCCTTTGTTTGGAATTAATAGTATTTCTTGCCTTTTTTTTAACGAGTGATCTAGTTTTCTGTTCTTCGCATTTGCAGTTGCATCTGCTTCTTGGCAGTGTCCTCGAAGCTCCAAACCTCCTTGGGCTTTAATGTTTTCAGGATGAAAAAAATGTTTTTGCGCCGGGATCTTCCGCGGGACTGTGAGCGCGGCCCAGCAGCTACCTGATCGCCACGGTTAAGCTGCCCAGGAGCCAAACGCATACCATCCCTTATCTGGCACTGTTAATGGGCTGAACGCTGAGAAGCAGGTCATGACGGCTTCAGCCAGCTGATGTGATGCCATCCCAAAAGAGACAGACTGCAGAAGAAATACAGAGAGGGCAGTAATCTCCAGTCCCATTATTGCCACTTTAATGAAGTAAATATGTGTTTCCTCATTAGGTACTGGTCTGTCCTACTGCGGTTGGCTTCACGCAGGGGCTGTGCTGTCTCCAGCTAATTTGGACTTTTGAGGCATTATACATTTCCGTTAGCATTCAGTTTGCCTAGTGATGCATTATTTAAGTACCTTTTCTGGGCTCTGACTTGATTTTCAGCTGGTAGCTGGTAGTAAAGTGGTTAAAAACCCAGAGGTGCAACAGTAGGGAATAGGTTCAAGTCCGTCTGAAGTAGACTCTCAATTCGGATTACTTGGGTGCACACCGCGCATAATTTCTGGTCCCGGGGTAAAATGACTTCACGCGTGCCCCCATAACAGCTACTCATAGTCTCATATCCTGGCACAGGCCGGGAACATCTTCCCCGTTTGCCCCCCCCCATGACAGCAGATGCAATAAAACCAATCAGCTGTGCAGACTGATGGTCATTTTGCATCCTTTGAAGCTCCGCCCACGCTGCTGCTATGTGGCGCGTTTCTGGAACGTCTCCCCGGAACCGCTCCACACGTTCTGTCTGCTTACACTCCTCAGGAAGTCCTATGAGTTCGAGGATCTGCTGCAGTCGTCTACAGACGGAAGCCAGGTGGACTGGTACGCGCAGGCCAGGCTGTCCCTTTCACGCACTTTATCTGAGGAGAACATCTATGAGGACATCCTCGGTAAGCCGCCGCGAGTCTGCGGGGCACGGGAACGTCTTGCTTTTCTCTAAACAGAAAAACAAAGCACAGTCCACTCTCATCCAACTATAAAGAGAATAGCCAGTTGTTTAAGTTCCTCTGCAGTCATGAGAGGTGTTTTTTTGCATGAATTTTCCATGTTTTGAAGTTCTCCGCACGTGTTTGGGTTTCATCATCGTTTTCCTGCTCTCTCATCTCGTTGGTCACGGTAAATGGGCCCAGCAGGCCTTGCTGACCGGAGCTGTGTGCTGGAAGCTGGACGCTCCACCAGGTGGCGTGCTTTCCGCTCACCGCTAAGCGTGATCCGCACTTGTCACTTGACAGCGGCAGTTGTAATGTTTGCGCGGCGTTTTTTTCGGGCAGGTGGCTGAGGTATAGAACATGGTTTACGAGGCTCCCAGTCTTCACTCCTCTGGTTCTAGGATGAGCAGAAATTGCAGCTTTCAGAGGAAAAGCCGGTAAACAGAGATCCAAGGGTGGAGATGATGGCTGCCTGTGCAATTATAAGCACAAGATGGTGTAATTACAGGTTATAGACATTGTCTCTCAGAGGAAAGCATAACATCACAGTCCACCGTAGAAACGCTTCAGGAAAATAGTGCTGTTTGGGCACCCAGGGTTAAACCCCACTGACAGCCCATAATAAGCTCCAGTCCATAATTGTATTTATTTAGCAGATGCTTTTGCGACACAGATTTTGAGTAAGCAGGATCAGACGGTTCCTGAGGCAACCCTCAGTAAAATCACTCTACCGCCCGCGGGATTTGAACCAATGACCTTCCAATTATGGGCACACCCCTCATAACCCACTGAGCCTCACACCTCCCCAGTTACTGAGGAGGCCAAACTGCATGACAGGTCAGATCCTGCTCTGCTGCTGACGTCCCGCCTCGTGCCGCCAGCATCTGACTCACGCCGAGCTCCATGACCATCCTCGTGGGGCACCCTCCCCCATCCCCCCCCCCCCCCGCTGTTTTCCCCTGCCCATGCTGCCATTGCTTCAGAGCTCCATAAATTTGACGTCCACCCCCTCCAGATCTGGGACACGCCATGATAGCGAGAGCCATAAATGACGCTCACGGTTCTGGCAGAACCTGTACACATCTGGAGAGAAAAAAAAAGCGGACAGACCGACTGTTTGGGCCACAATGCGGCGTCGGGCTGGAAATCATGCCCCCCCCCACCCTCAGTATCCTACCTTCTCCATTCTTCCAGACCCTCCATCCAAGGAGAACCCATACGAAGACATAGACCTGGAAAGTCGTTGCCTTGGAAACAAGTCCCCCCTTGCTCTGTCGCCCTCGTCTCCCATCCCCGACACCCCAACCAAGGTACGCGCCAGACGCGGACGGTACCGTTTATGTGGGATAATAAACCATCATTTGCCGTCACGTTGCGGGAACGTTAAACGCAGAGTTTGTCTTTTCATCAAAGGATAATGAACAGTTTAGGGATTAAATGAAAGACTGTGGCGTGTCAGGATATGCCGGTAATGACCCCGCGCTCGCTGACGCCCCCTGTCTGTGTGTCTGGGTCAGTTGTCGTCCAAGCCCAGTTTCTTCCGTCAGAATTCTGAGCGACGGAGCTTTAAGCTGCTGGACCTGCGCAAAGGACACCGGGAAGGGGGTATCGCCTCGCCCCCCAGGATTAGCCCCCCATCCACGCCCAGCAGCCCCGACGACACCCCCTCACTCTCGGGGGACCCCTATAACCGTCGGCGCAGGAAAATCCCCAAGGTAAAGAGCCAACCGGGAACGCAGATGGGGCGGATAACTCAGAGATGCGCAGCCGGTGACTTACATCCCGGGAATACCGCCGCCGCGTCTTTTTAAAAATCCCGTCATCTGGGAATGTATCCTGGAAGACAAATAGTGCATGACTTTTATCATTCGTGAATTCTTCCTGTCGGGCTCCTCGGACGCACACGGAAGCCCCCGATTGGCCGGCGCTGTCCCCTTAGCTTTCTTTGTTTTTTGTTTTTTTTCTGGCCCGCCCCCCCCAGCTGGTGATGAAGATTAACGGCATCTTCGAGGCGCGGAGGGGAAAGAGACGTATGAAGCGGGTGTCCCAGTCTGCGGAGTCCAGCTCGGGGAGAGGTCTGTGCGTGGGAGATGCTTTGTCTATAAACACCCTGGGGCCCCAGTAAGGGGCCCACGGCCCCGGGGGCCGATTCCAGCTAGCCAACATTAGCACTTGAGCCCGTTAGCTAACATTTATGCGGCTGCCCCCCTTTCCCTTGCAGAGCGGGAATGTGATGCCGCTTTATCAAAGACACATGTGGGCCGCCTGGTGCCAGAGCGCGTGCAGCCCGCCACGATGACATCACCGGCTCGGTGTGAGGTCGCGCTCCGGCGCACACGCGGCATCTCAGTTAGCTTTTTCTGTGCTTTTTCTTTTACAGTGACGGACGAAAACAGCGAGTCTGAGAGCGACACCGAGGAGAAGCTGAAAGGTGAGGTTTGCTGTTTCACGGTCGCTTTCTCCTCGGGTTTGGGTTCCGGCCCATTTTTACGTGTCGTAATAAATTTTTGGAACTGCTAGAAAACTGAGGTGTTACAGACTATAGTGAATAACGTAATACAATGAAATCCAAGCTTAGGACCCGAAACCTAATGCTGAACAAGTCAGAGTTCAGCGGAGGTCAGCCATGCCGTGTCGCCCCGGTGCAGCTCACAGCCAGCGGCTGGTGTCGGTCCAGTCCATGATCAAGCAGACGTGCCGGTACCGTACGCTGGAGCGCGACCTGATGGACCTGACCGAGCGCAAGCTCTTTGAGTACTTCCTGGTGGTAGCGCTGCACAAGGCCAAGGCGGGGGTGCCGTACCTGCCGGAGGTCACTCAGCAGTTCCCCCTCAAGGTGAGGGGGTGGGGCTTTGGCAGGGGGGCGGGGCTTTGGCAGGGGGGCGGGAATGCCCTCTGTGTGATTTTTAAAGTCACTTTTCTATATCTTTTTATTTGTATGTCAACCTTCTTGTGTCTATACATGTATGGTTACATGTGTGTGTGTTTATGTGTCTGTAAATTTATGCATATCTATGTTTATTGGTGAGTGCGTTTGTAACTAGGTACAGAGTAAACCAATCATGACGTTGTTCCTGTTTCACTGAATGACCCTTTCATGATAGAAAGACACCTCAGTTTGCTCATAAGCCTGGAGCTCATTTGAAAGCCACCGCAAAACTGCACACAAAGATTTCTGACTTTTTTTGTTTTTTTTTTTTACATAAAACGTTTACATTTTGTCTAATTGATCTATATATTTGTTTTGGATGTGTATCTGTTTTCTCAAATTCTCAGATTTTTCAAGCATGCTTGTATGTGCATGTGCTGTGCATATGTATTTGTGTGCGTGTGTATGTGTGTGCGTGCGTGTGTGTGTACATGTGCGTGTGCATGTGCAAATGCATGCATATGTTTGCATGTGCTTGTGTGTGCATGTGCATGTGCATGCGTGTGGTCCAGGTATACCTTACCTTATGGGGACCAGTTTCCTGGTTATCTTTATGGTTATGGTTAAGGCTGGGTAGGGGTTAAGGTTGTCATAGTTAGTACTAGCATTTTTCCCATACAAATTAATGACCGGTCCCCAAAAAAATATGATTATACTACTGTGTGTGTGTGTGTGCATGCGTGTGTGTGTGCATGCGTGTGTGTGTGCATGCGTGTGTGTGTGTGTCTACACGTCTGAGCTCTCGGCTAAACGCCACGCCTCTTGCCCGACAGCTGGAGCGCAGCTTCAAGTTCATGCGGGAGGCGGAGGACCAGCTGAAGGTCATTCCCCAGTTCTGTTTCCCCGATGCCAAGGACTGGATGCCTGTCGACAACTTTGCCAGGTTCGCCCCCCCCCCCCCCCCCCCCCCCCTCACAGAACACATAACACCCCCCCCCCCCAAAAAAAACAGGTCCAAAGAATCAGTTACAGAAATAAAGCTGCGTCAGTGTCGCAGTGTTGGAGTTCTGTGTAGTTTGGTTATTAGCAGTTAGCATGGAGTTTGACGATCCCATAAAGTGGTAGGTGAGGCTCCTGGGGCTGCATCCTGCACCCCGTTAATGCAGGAGGCACATGCAGCGTTTATTGCGTCACCTTGGGTGGCACATTTTCCATGCGGAGCACGAGCGTGCACCTCAGAGCGATGTTCCTGTTGCCATGACGTTCACATTTGTGATGCACTCTTACTCCTCCGATCAGCTGACCGGTTAGTGACTGTCCCCCCTCCCTGTGTTTCAGTGAGACATTCTCCTTTGTGCTGACCGGGGAGGACGGCAGCCGGAGATTCGGATACTGCCGCCGTTTGCTGGTAAACAGCTGGACGTCGCCGTTCGTTTGCCATGGGAGCCCGTTGTTTGCTGATGCTCTCCATGGCCTGTTGTGTGCTTACAGCCTAGTGGGAAGGGGCGACGGCTGCCTGAGGTCTACTGCATTGTGAGCCGGCTGGGCTGCTTCGACCTCTTCTCCAAGGTATGGCTGTACGGCCTGGGTAAACAGACCTCCCATACTGCCTGGGTATACAGACCCTCACACTCCCTGGGCATACAGACCCCCCCTCCCCACTGCCTGGGTATACAGACCCCCACACTGCCTGGGTATACAGACCCCACAATGCCTGGGCACACAGACCTAGACATAGACATTAATCACAAGACCACCCCACAGATCCTGGATGAGGTGGAGAAGAGGCGGTCTCTCTCCCCTGCCCTGGTGCAGCCCTTCATGAGAGGCGTCTTGGAGGCACCGTTTCCCGCCCCAGGCCGCACCATCACCGTCAAGAACTTTCTGCCGGGCTCTGGGACCGAGGTCAGCCATGTGTCCTCAGACCGGACTGACCTACTTTGCTGCACTGCTCATTTTACGAGGGATACATGCAGCCTCAAAAGAATAACATTTAAAAATCTGTTGCTTTTCTTGTCATGTCTGTCACTTCCTAACAAAAAATATAATCATGAAAGAGTTCTTCTTTGGTCTCTCATGTGTTCCAAGCATTCTGGAGGGTGTCCCCAGCTGAGGTTTGCATGCTTGTACCAGACGTGAGGAGAGCGCAAGTCCAGTGATTAGGCACCAGGTCTGAGTTGTCAGTCTGTCCCCCCCCAACCTGGCCCCTGGCTTGCTCCACTGCTTAGCTTACAACTTGGCCCTCAGCCTGCCCCCCTCCATCTGGCGGGCAGCCCGGCCCTCAGCTCAACCAATCCTGTCTCTCCCCCCGTGTCAGGTGATCGAGCTGTGCTGACTCTCAGCTCGACCAATCCTGTCACTCCCCCCGTGTCAGGTGATCGAGCTGTGCTGGTTCTCAGCTCGACCAATCCTGTCTCTCCCCCCGTGTCAGGTGATCGAGCTGTGCTGGTTCTCAGCTCGACCAATCCTGTCTCTCCCCCCGTGTCAGGTGATCGAGTTGTGCTGGTTCTCAGCTCGACCAATCCTGTCTCTCCCCCCGTGTCAGGTGATCGAGTTGTGCCGGCCCTCAGATTCCCGGCTGGAGCATGTGGACTTTGAGTGCCTGTTCTCCTCACTAAGCGTGCGTCTCCTCCTGAGGGTCTTCGCCTCCCTGCTGCTGGAGCGCAGGGTCATCTTCACCGCCGAGAAACTGAGGTGGGCCCCCCCCCCGCGCAGCTGAGGGTGTGTCAGTGTCACTCTTGTGTTACCACCTATTATTGTTGGCTGTTACAGGAAACCTCCAACTTTGTGGCTTTTTTGAAAGGTTTGGTAACTTTAAAATGACCTCCTAACAACCTGGCTCCTTGACAGTAACAATAAGAGGGTGCAGAATATTCTGGAAGTATTGTTTATACGCCATGCAAGGCTGTGAGAAATAGGAACAGGTATAATAGGAATATGCGACAATGTTGAGACGTGATAAATAGATTAATATAACAAAGTGTTCCTTTCTCTGCAAGCGGAGGGGAATGTGATGGAAAGAATGCTGTTGTGTTATATAGTCACCATAGGAACAATCTCCTTTTTGGAAAAAACCTGGGAGAAGCCAACGGCGGGATTTCTGTTGTGCTGAGATGCTGAAATCTGTTTGGTATGCTGCCACAGTGACTCACTGTGGCCTCCCTCTGGCAGTGATTGGTACTGCAAGAAATTTACCCAAACAATGGCATCGGACTGCAATTTTAAAAAGTTGCAATCACCCTCTTTCAATATATTTTCATACATGTTGTATGAAAAAAAATGTAGATGACTTGTGTTTTGTCATTTTGTCATTGTAACACACCCGGTTGCAGGCCTTTAGACCTACCATTAAGTTTACAAAAGACAAACATTATCTGTATATTTTGAGGCCACTAATTAGAACCTGTATCTTTTTTGAAGTTTTATTTAAATATCAAAAATTAAAACAGTGTATATGCTTTTCATTCCTCATTTAAGGAAACCTGAGTTACAGTGTACTCTGCCAGGTGTGTGGATTACTGACACGACAGCGCCACCTGGTGGTAATACGTGATGCATTTTTCTCGCTGCGCCCAGCAAAGCATTAATGGGCGTCTCCTTCTCCCTCAGCACCTTGTCTAAGTGTTGCCACGCTATGGTGGCTCTGCTCTACCCCTTCGCCTGGCAGCACACCTATATCCCAGTGTTGCCCCCCTCCATGATGGACATTGTCTGCACCCCCACCCCGTTTATCGTGGGACTGCTGTCCAGCTCTCTGCCGCGGCTCAAAGAGCTGCCCATTGAAGAGGCGAGTCTCCCGCAGTGCTATGACTCTTAATGTCTGTGTGTATCATGGGCTCCTGTCTGGGTGTCTTTGGGTTTCTACGCATGTGCTTGTTGTTCGTTTGCTGCTTGGTCACCCTTACAAACCGACCCTTTTCCCCCACAGAACAATGGTCACGGCAGACTGTCCTATGCCCAGTCAGGAAAACGCTGACTTGACTCTCTGGCAGGAAATGACATCACTCTTCCTTTGTTCTCCCTTCAGGTCCTGGTGGTTGACCTCGGCAACAGTCGCTTCCTTAAACAGGTAATGCCAGCTGAATCTGTTTCCATGGTGATGCGTGTATGTGCAGCAGAGGCTCTCGTGTGACGCCCAGTTAAGCGCTAGCTGTCCTCCACAGCTGGATGACGAGGACTCCATCCTGCCCCACAAACTGCAGGCTGCTCTGGAGCACGTCTTGGACAGGAGGAAAGAATTAGCCTGCGAGAAAGCTGAGCACCCCAGCGGTGAGACACCCTGATGCACTTTGGTGACTCTTCAGAAATACCACCCAGAACAGCATGAGTTTCCAGTGGATGGTCACGAGGGTTAAAACAGTACTCGAACTATACTCTAACAGTACTCGAACTATACTCTAACAGTACTCGAACTATATTCAAAGTATTCAAGGTTCATTTCCTATTTGGAGACCTGCTACTGAACCCACTAACTACGAAATCAAGCTTTAAACTTTGTTCTAATAAAAATGAAAACATGATCTGCTTTTTAGATCAGTAAATTATGATATGTGTCCATTTCCTTGGGTTGCCGACGGTAACTGACCATCCTGTGTCGCTCCTCCCCCAGACTCCTGCTCCCTGAGCACCGTGGTCTCCGAAGCCTTTGTGCGCTTCTTTGTGGAGATGGTGGGCCACTACCCGCTCTTCATGAGCGCCGTGGAGCGTGACGACGAGTCCTCAGCTTCCTCATCCCCCACGCCCTGCTCGTTCCAGCGTGAGGCCTTCCGCAAGGCCATCGGCTCCAAGAGTCTGCGCCACTTCCTCGAGGTCTTCATGGAGACCCAGATGTTTACAGGCTTCATCCAGGAGAGAGAACTGAGGCGACAAGGCCTGAAAGGTCCCATATTCCGCCGCCCAACTGTGATGTTATGTGTGTTTGTACTGCCAGCTGAGATCTTGGGTGTGTTTGGGTGTTTCTTTCTAGCAGATGCCTCTACTAACGTCCAGCTCCTCAGTTAAGTAAAGAGTAAAGTTCTCCTAAGACTGAGGGCCATTTGTAATTGATTACTGGAGAATAGTTGGTAGGCGTTTCCGGCGAGTGTGGCACCAAGGCTCAGTATGTAGCACTGACTTCTAACGCCTTCAGGGGCTGGGGGGTTTGCAGCCCCCTGCCCTCTGTGTGTGCAGTTTGCTCTCCCAACTTGCCCCTAAGATGTGACTGTATATGTGTATGTGCGCTGGGATGGACTGGCATCCCTGTCCAGGACGGACACCAGCCTTGCTCCCTATGCCTAAGATAGACTTCCATGACGCTGACCAGGAGAAGTGGTTAGGAGATGGATGGACGGAAAAACGAATAAAGACAAACTCAATGCCGCAGTCTACAGGGAACACATTCTGGAGTTCTGACTGGGACAGCGTGTTCTGCCATCATTAACGGACCAGCAAATTATGGGATTTCCCATGGAAGAATGGTGCTACGTCTACCCAGTAGTTTCAGAAACTTGTAGAATCTGTGCCATGATTTAGTGAAGCTGTTCTGAGGGGGTCTGTGGTGTCCCGCTGCCCCATTAAATGTGTGTGCAGCATGTTGCTCACTTGGAACTTCACAGCTGGAACTTCTGAGCTGTTGTTGACGCCAAGGCCACAACTTTGGTCTCAACACTGGTAGCGACCAAATCAACCCCTAGACACATGCAGTACTCTCACAGTACTCTCACAGTCGCTGTCATCCATACCCAAACTACTCCTTTGCTATACACTTAGAAACAACTTTTAATAACAAGTTCTTAGACTGTCTTAAGTCACTGTCTCTTCCTGTCTTAGGACTGAAACAAACAACTTTTGCAGTACTGACAGCTGTGTTTCTCCTGCTCCAGGTCTGTTTGAAGTCCGAGCCCAGGATTACCTGGATTCTCTGCCTGGAAGTGAACATCGTGGGGTCAACAAGTTCTTCAAAGGTCTAGGTGAGATTCACCATCTCCATATTAAGTGAGCTGGTCCAGCCTCACAAGTCTTTATGATCTGAGAGGCACTAAAGCAGTATTTCACTGTTAAGCTTCAACAGCACCGGCTTTTCTCACACACTTCTTTTGTATTTTCAGGTAATAAAATGAAATTCCTGTCCAAAAAATGATGGCTGGAATCGGAGCCAAAGAGCCAATAAGCTAAGAGAAAATTCAACACTACTCGCTCGTGGACGTCAGATCCGTGAAACTCACTGACCAGCAAGGAAATGATGAACATATTCAGCTGGGCTGCGCAGTCAGTGGGGACGGCGAGCATGTCTGCGCAGACGCATGCAAGCTGCATTTGGAACAACCGGAACACAAACGACGGTGGATTGTTATGACTCGGCTGAACTACCATATTGTGCAAAAATTGCAGATTCTTCCGACCACATTAAGGAAAGAAAATAGACTGAGAGACTCGCTGCAGCCGGGACAGAATCACGCCCTGTGGACGAATCACCCCGCTGTCAGCATTCCGTCGGAAATGGACGCAGAAGTGTAGCTGTTCTCCCTATGTCAACTCGGCACTATCTCCGCGAGCAAAAACTTGTTCAAATCGGGTTTTTGTCAAGGACGATTTTATATTCAGCATTTTTAAAATACCTATTTTAATAAGAAAAGGTTTTACGTCTTAAAACAGTACAACTTCTACGAAAACGGGAGGCTATGGTTTAATTTATATCTTTTTAGAATAACTATCTTTGCCAAAACAGAATTGAAGAAAAAAAAACGGTTTACCTTATTACTTATTTATGGGCCTGTTCTGCAAATCTCTGTCACGATCAACGTATCATGCAGAAAAAAACGATGGCCGAGTCTCTTCAAAGACAGGAAAATAGTCCAGTTATTTTTGGACGGACCTTATTCATGCCTTCTTTGATAAACTTTACGTTATTGATCCAAAGATACTTTGATGGAGTGTGATTCCATTTTCAAGAAGCGGTTATTGCTCGTTATTAATGTTTCCGAAGACCACTAAGTCTGTCATACACTCCTTTTGGGAAGCAATGAAATCGCATTAATAAAATGATTTACAGAAAGAAATGAGTCTGCTGTAATTATTGTATATGCAACTGTCGACATTGTGCGACATCTGCCTCGGCTTCTAGGCCGGTCATTGGACGCCCTCGTGTAACAATTGCTGTATGTTCAGAGAAACGGAAAGATCACATGGCGCCACTGTAATATCAATAGTAAATTTTAAATGTTTAAAATGGTGGCCACTAGAGGGCGACACGGGTCAGCGCATCCTGCTCCTCTCCAGCTTCAATGGGCAGGATGAGTCTCCTCATTTCATTGTTCTCCGCTTTTACTTCTGTCGTCAGTCTGAGGAAACAGGATATGTATTTTAGTATATAGTTTATGACATTTACGTGTTCTGTTTTTTAAAAATCATTTTTAGTTTATTTTTATTCCAGTAATGTTGGAGGTTAGTGGTTTTATTCTGTTTAAAATAGTCAAAAACTAATGCGTGATTGCGATAAATACGTCCATAAACTATCAGATCTAAGTTTTGATTTCACCCCGGGGAAACGATACTAAGCAAACGGGATTTGGTGCTTTTATAAGTATTCTTTCGGTTTAATATACTTTTATTTTACCGAAATGTTAATCCTGGATGTATGCGATTGGTATCATTTTTAATAGACAGATCAGTGCAAAACTCTGTCAAGGGGGATTATTTTAATCACCGATTTTAAGTCGCTTTACTACCACGGAAATGTTTCGCAACGGTGTCCTTCTCCCCTCCGGCGTCGCTCTCTCCCACCCCCCCAGCACACACCCCCATAACCAGCAATGACAATCCCCGGCCCATGTTTTTCTCCGTCTGATTTCCTTTTTTCCCCAACTGAGGCGGCGTTTCTTTTCCTTTCCCGAGCCGCGGCCCTCCCCTCGCACCCCCCTCCTTCATTACGTGCTCCCTCTTTCCTCTCGTCTCTTTCTCCCTCCCAGCCTTCATGTCATACCACAGCTAATTCCTGAAATTCCAGCTTCCTGACGCTCCAAGCGACTTTACTGACCGGCAACAAATACTGCGCTATTCTTCATAAAATCCGACGTTTCAAAAATCCACATTTCCTGTCAGCTCATATATTGTTTGCTGTGGTATTTAACTTTGCACAGGTAAGTGTTGCCAATGCATATTTTTTTGTTGGTCCTTCGATTTTATTTATCCATATTATTTAATCTCTGTATTGTTTGTAATGCAGTTCCTGAGACATACTCCGTCCAGCTCTAACTTTTTGAGCATGTAAGGACGGTGCATCCTGTTGCTTCAGCATAGATTGATTTTCTTGTCGGGATTCAGAGATCGCCGTAAAAAAACGGAAGATATTAAGCAATTTTGGCATTTTAATGTGAATTCCTGTGATCTGTGCGCCGTACTGTACTTCCCACGCTGTGCCGGAACTTTTCGGGAGGCGCGAGCGGAGCCCCGAGTCCCGCGGGCGCTGCGCGCGCCAGGCTGCCGCACTGTACCTGTATAAAAGCAGGATTTCTTACTGCGGCGCCAAAGAATTTAACATCTTATAAAGTAGCTGCATGTTCCCTTTTCTGTCATATTCGAGCGCCACAGGTGGGTGCAGTGAGCCAGGTCTAATCGTGCTTCTGGCTTTTTTTATTTGGGAAAACAACCACGCAATAATGAATATCGTAAATAGTTTATTAGCCTATATCATCCAAACGTGCTCTTACGTGGGCCTATAAGCGCGGTTTGCGTAACAGAGAATATGTGTTTGATTATTAGCAATACATTATTTACGCATGTTTCAAAGTAGGCTAATATAATAATTCATGACCCTCTCCATATTAATAGAAGTTTTTTTTTATACTATAATTATTATTATTATTTCATGATTATTTAACGTGTGTTTAGTGTAATGATTATCCATCTAACATTAACTCATGCCGAGTTGAGTCGCGGGATAATAGTAATAATAATTATTATATTAATAATAGAAATAATAATAATAATGATTATTGTTATTATTATACTACTACTGCTGTGCTTGCCCATGAGTAATTATACTGTTTTATGCCAAACGTGATTAAATATGAAAATAAATAATTTACAATGATTTGTCATTCCTCTGAAGCATAAGTCGAATTTCCCAAGAGGTCGGCATAAAGAAATAATTCTTCCCTTAAAGTCACCGGGTTCTGAGGCTTAAGACTTAATAAATCAGTGGCCTCCTCTGGTCCCGTTTAACTGTAGTGAAAAGTTACCCTTGGTTTCACATGGCGGGTGATTCGGATGTCAGGCACCGTCCATGCGGGTCAATCGGGCTCCGCTTCTGAGCGCCTCCCGCTGACATCACGCCCCGACGGGGAGCGGAGCGCCCGCGGCTGCCTTTTCTCAATGAGCCTGAGCTTTAAAGGGTAACTGCGGGTTTAAGCCCTTTGCCTGCACTGACCGGGCTGCTTGCTGGTCAGGGCCGGCGGTGGGGCTCCCTGAGCCGCTCTGGATAGGGCGGGGGCGGGGGCGGGGGTGGGTGGTGGTTTTGTGTCTGAGGTGGAGCAGGTGGAATGGGTAGGGATATTACGAGCCCGCTGAGCTTGGACTGCAGGCAACAAAACAGTATTTTCTCATCTTATTTTTTACCTCCATCTTTTACTCCAAATTATATCCTGTAACAGTATGTCTCAATGAAGACAGTTCTGAGAATACATTGTGAATACGGTGTTACGAGCGCGTCTAGGGTTCGGTCGTACAGAATGGTGCGGTGAGCTGCGCGTGCGCGGGACGGGGGCGCGCTTCGTTCCAAGGAAAGGAGAGCCCGGGGTGTACAAAGGGAAGAGCGAAGTGTGCATTTGGGAGAGACTGGGGAAAGACCTGCACCACAGCAACACGGAGAAGACCCGCAGCCACATGAGGAAAGAAAGCAAAAAAAAAAACAAAAGAATTACTTACCTCCCTCTCTAAACAAACACAATTACAAAAAAGGTGGCATGAGTGCAAAACACACACACATACACACACAAACATACACATACACACAAACACGCATATACACACACAAATATATACAAAGAGCGATGGGGCTCTGGTTATAAATTCTTAGTGTGTCCACAGCCACATGCTCAAATACTGATTTTCTTTTTGGAAATCGGAGGCCTGTCCTTTGTCCGTCTATGTACCAGAGGCTCCTTAGCACTGTGGTTTGTGCTCAAAGCCTGAACAGACCTGGGTTCGGCCCCCAGTCCACGGACGGGAATCTGCTTCGCTCATCCCTACGTTCCGCCGCTTCTCAGATAGTTTCTGTCAGTGACAAAGGAGGCCGTGTGAGTGTCCTTCTCCCAATGTCACCCCCTGGACTCCTCGCCAATGGCTGCTACTGCTTTTATTGTTCCTCTCTTTGTTTCTAGAACATTCCTGTGTGTGTGCACGCGTGGCGAGGCGAGCGAACAGGCCGGGTTGCACTGTCAGAAAATATTATTGTACCCTTTGAAGGTACAATTGCTTGATACTGGGGCTGTACCCTCAAGGATCCGCCAGTTGTACCCTTAGTCACATGTAGGTAAGTACCATTGGAAGTACATGAATGCTGTTTGTATCTTGGGGAACAAAAGTTGTATTTGGGCTGGACTGTTTTTTCTGATAGTGTCGCGTATCATTGTGTCAGCTTCAGAGATTGTCCCGATGGGTCCATAGGCGCATATGGTACCCACTGATGGGGTGGGGTGCCCAGTGGGCAGGGAGGGCACCATGTCAGGCTGCTGTGGGGGCAGAGGAAACCCACTGTACACACTGCATGCCTCGGCATCCCACTCGTGGAGGGGGGGAGGGGGTCACGGAGCGAAACAGAGAGGGACCCGTGGTCCATATTTACCGTATCCGGATCTGCATGCTCCTGCATTTCGGGCAGAATTCCGGATATGGGATTTTTAAGCCTGAAGATTTTCCCACAGAGGCCCCGACTTGCGGACCGTTGGTCTTAAAATTTTCCGAGCTTTGAATTCCACGGCCGATTAGCGGAGATTGTGCCTCGGGGATCAGTAAGCCAGGGCAGCCCCCACCACGGCAGCCCCCACCACGGCTCTGCTCACGCGCCACCACTGGGGCCCCTGTCCCCCGAGCCTGGGCCCCCGGGGCTTCTGGGAAAAGGGCAGGGCGATGCAGTTGCTATTTTCCAAAAAGGGCCAGCTGGGTGTCTCTTGGGGGCCCCAACCATAGCAGCAGCTGGGTGGATTATCTAACTCTGTGGGCAAGTCTGGGGGGTGGGCAGGGAGACCTGGCCATGCCAAGAGGGTTTGGGAGGGGAGCCCTGGAATTAAGAGCTTAAATCAGTGAAGCCCATCGGACACCAGCTATAGGAGCTAGGGGTGTAATTCTTCAGGGATCACGTCCCAAATGACATCATAGTGATGAGGCTGGTGGCCTCCCAGCAAACTGCTCCATTCACTAAAGGTGTGTGTGTCTGTCTGTGTGTCTGTCTGTGTCTCTGTCTCTGTGTGTGTCTGTGTGTGTCTGTGTGTCTGTCTGTCTGTCTGTCTGTGTGTGTCTGTGTGTCTGTCTGTCTGTGTCTGTCTGTGTGTCTGTCTGTGTGTGTGTCTGTGTGTCTGTCTCTGTGTGTGTTTCTGTGTGTCTGTCTCTGTGTGTCTGTCTGTGTCTCTGTCTCTGTGTGTGTCTGTGTGTCTGTCTGTGTCTGTCTGTGTGTCTGTCTCTGTGTGTCTGTGTCTGTGTTGTGGGGACCTTTCCAGCTCCCACAAGGGGAAATTCAATTTTATAAAAATCTGTGATTACAATCAAAAAACTAAAAATGCCAAAAGTCTGGTATTTTGTTTCGTTGCTTGTGATTAAGTTTAGGGCTGGGTGGGGGTTAAAGTTAGGGCTGGGTGGGGGTTAAGGTTAGGGCTGGGTGGGGGTTAAGGTCGTCATTGTGTGTGTTTGTGTGTCTGCATATGTGTGAGTGTCGTTCCCTCTCACAGCATCCTCCAGGTAGGAGAATCATAAGGTTTATTTTGATAGATTAGTAACAGACACATGCCAATATTATAAATAATAATTTATAGTAATAACTAATTGACAATAAATTATTTTAAATTTTAATTGCATTTTATTAATCTATCATAACGTATTATTTCAACAACAACCATAGAATCATTCAAAACTCAATTAATTATTAATTATCCTTCATTTAAGGTTAAGACGGGTTCAAATGGACTTCATTGAACCCAGTGAGAATTTCTGGTGTATATAGCAGCAAGGACGATAGTGTTCAGATGAACATACATATTGAAAGTGCAAAGAATTCACATTGTACACAAAGTGCAAAGAAAGCAGCGTAGTGCACACATATTTAAAAAGTAGCCAGTTCATCAACAGAATATCCTGAAAACGTAATAAAAATAATAAATTAGCATATGAATAATTAATCTGAATATTAAATTACTAAATTCTTTTTTAGTGACCGAGATCCTTCTTGGTTTATTAAATTGTTTTCAGCGTGATCCTTACCGTCCAGACCGGAACATCGGCGTTAGTTAAATTTAGCAGTTTGCTCCCCTTTCTGCTGGAGATCTCGCTGCAGGACTAGCCGGTCCTATCCGCCGCTGCGTCTTGCTATATGAGCTTAGCCCCTGCATCAAGAAGGCCTACCTGCGGAAATGCCGTGTGACGGCCTTCGTATGATCCACATTAAATATGGCGTGTAGGAGCTGGGGGTGAGGTCCTGGTCTCACGAAGAGGGCCGATGTGAGAGCCAGGCAGTGTCCACCTTCAGAGTTAGTGGCAGGAACCCGAGATAGCTGCTGCAGGGGTGGTTTGTGGCTCAGTGGCTTAGACCTCTGTGTCCATCATCAGAAGGTTGCTGGTTTGAACTTGAGCTTGGATGGAAAAGACCTGCTTTCATATGAGGGCTGTGTGCTTCCTGAACTGACTGAGTTTAATCTCTGTCCCAATCAGCCGTGTTCCTCTTCATGAGATTTATTCCTCGTGTATTTTTGGGAAATATGATTCTCTGATGAAGCTCAGCCTGTCTTAAGATGGCGCCGTGACGAGGCTGGCAGGTGGCCTCACCTGGGGGGGAGGGGGTGCACTTTGATGGCCTTCCCCAGGCCTTGAATGGAGCTATTGTTCAGTATCCGTGTGTGTGTGTGGGTTGGGGGCGGGTTTTATGGGAAGCCCTGTGCTGCGTCAGAGGAAGGGGGGGTTGAGCGATCGGAGATTGTTCCTTGCGCTCTCACAGACGTGACACACTATGAGTCATCACA